AAATAAAATATTTTTAGGGGGTTGGGGTTGTGGCTCAGAGGTAGAGCGCTCACCTAATATGCATGTGACACTGGGTTTGATCCTCAGCACCACATAAAAATAAAATAAACATATTGTGTCCACTTATAACTAAAAAATAAATATTTTATAATAATATTTAAAAAAAAAGGCTGGGAATGTGGCTCAGTGGTTGAGTGCCCCTGGGTTCTATTCTCAGTACTAAAAACAAAATCAGGTATGTGTTAAAGAAAACCATCCAGAATATATATTTAAATAAAATGAATTGTTCTATGAGGGATCTCTGCTCTCACCTTGAATAAAGATTTTTTTTATCTGAAAAAAGAAAAGAATTATAAACCTATCCATACTTTCCATAAAATAGTTTGGCAACATGTATCAAGAAACCTAAAATGCTGATTCTATTTAATTTAGTCACTCCAATTCTATGAATCTGTACTCCATGCTTGGCAGATCATATAGAGTAAGGTACCTTATCATATATTATGAAACTTTCTTTCCCTCTGCATTAAGTAGAAAGAATGAATCTCATTCTTATCCTGGTCCCTGTTTGGACTTCACATTAGAGTTAGAATAATTTCCATATTTTTACTACTATAACTCTATTCTATGTCCACTTGAAGAAAATGTTAGCAATTTTATTTAGTTTTTTTACTTCATTTTATATAATTTTTATTTCTGTGTATGTCATTATTAATGTACATAGAAGTTACCATGAGGATATTATACTAAATAAACAAATGCTAAATTTGTATGGGAAGGGCAGGCTTAACAAATTTTACTTAAAAGGTATACTATCTAAATATATTGGAGATCAGCTCAGTATGCACCAACATGCACTTTCCCTTCAGTTGAAACTGATCTGTGTTATACCACAATGTATGTCTATTCATTTCCAAATGTGGCTCACAACCAGTATGTTTGAAATAATAGGGTGGTGGTTGCTCTTCCTCCTTTTAAAACTACTATTTGCATTCTTTACCACCAAAACTTATGCACCACTGAAATGCAAGCTTCTTAAAAGGAGGATCTATCCCTGGTTCACACATATAGTAATTTGTAAATGTGGTTGAAATAATGCTATTTGATCCTCTGCCCAGTTAATAAAATTTAATGGGAAATGTTACTTTAAATCAAAATATTACTAAGAACACTTAAAACAATGTCAAAAATAGTATGAGATATAAATTACACATGTATTGTTTAGTGTGTACATTTTTTTTTTCTTGTCAATGGGAAAAAACAGGGATCTTTGTGGTACAGCATTCAGCATTACCTTGAATTCCCCAAACTCTTCTAAGAGGCAGAATTCTCAAATTCCCAGAACATCAAACCATTTCAACATAAGTATGTGGAAGAGAAAGTGTAAGGAAGGGACAGATAAGACAATTTGTGCCATTTTATGAATATTTGAGAGAGGGTTTATCTTTGTTATGCAGGGATTCAAACTAATTGTAAAAGACTGATTATATATGAAATCAATATATCACATTGTATTGATATATCTCTTAAACCATAAAATAAAATTAACTTTTGCAGATGGCATGATTGTCAACGTAGGAAATCTCAAAGACCATCATTAATAAACTCCTGGAACTAATAAACAATTGTAACACGATTTCATGATACAAAATTAATATAAAAAACCATCGCTTTTCTACACATCAGAAATGAACAATTGGAACTTGAAATTAAAAACACAACATCATATTTCAAAAGCCTTAGAATATGAAATAGGTATAATTCTATCAAAATAAATACAGGACCTATATAAAAAAGTACAAAATTCTGATCAAATAAATCAAAGAAATATATAAACAAATGCAGAGCTGTTATAGGATATGGCTAGAAGACTCAGTATTGTTGAGATGTCAGTTCAGATGTGAGTTCATATACATTACCCATAAAGATACATAGATTGAAGTAAGAATCTGAAAAGATGTTCAACATCATATTACTAGGTAACTGTAAATTAAAACAACAAAGGCAAAAGTCCCAGACTCTGACAATACCAGATGCTGGCATGGGTGAACAACCTTAGGCTTTTATTCACTTCTGGGAGAATGTGGAATGGTACAGTCACTTTAGAAGGCACTTTGGCAGTTATATACAGAGCTAAGCATAATTTTATAATCGGTTATGGTTTGGCTCTGGAAGGCTCCTCCAAAGTTCCACAGTAATGTCCAGAGATGGGGCTTCTGAGAAGTGATTGAATCTGAGGCTCTCACACTATCAGTTGATTAATCCATTTCATGAATTAATAATTTGAATGGACTACTGGGAGGAGGTGGAACCTATAGGTTGGTGGGGCATGGTTGGAGGAAGTAGATCACTATGGGCATGCCCTTGGGGACTATATCTTGTCCCTGGCCCCCTTCTCTGTCTTCTGTCTCCTCTATCCCTCCCTTCCTTCCTTCCTCTCTTTCTCCCTCCCTCCCTCCCTCCCCCCCTTCTTTCTCCTCTTCCTAGCCACCAAGAGCTAGGCAGCTTTCCTTTGCCACACCCTTCCACCATGATGTTCAGCCTTGTCTCAGGCCCAAGCCAAAGAAGCCAGCTAAGCATTGACTGAAACATCTGGAACCATGAGCCAAAATAAATCTGTCCTCCTCTAAGTTGTTCTTGTCAGGTATTTTGGTCACAATGAGGAAAAGCTGAGTAACACACCATATGATTCAGCAATCAGACTCCTAGATATTTATCCAAATGAATAGAAAACTAATGTTCTCACCAAACACTGCACATGTATGTTTACAGAAGCCTTTATTTATAATTGCCCAAACTTGGAAGCAACCAGGATACATCCTTCCATCTGTGAATAGATACACTGTAGCCTATCCATTGAATGGAATATTATTCTACAATAAGAAAATAAATGAGCTACCAAGCCACAAAAAAGCATGGAAGAACTTTTGATGCACATTTCTAAGTAAAGGAATCCAGCCTAAACAGGCTACAGATTGCATGATTCCAACTACATAACGTTCTAGAAAGGGAAAAACTAGAGAGACAGTAAACAGATCAGCGGTTGCCAGGAGTGCAGAGGGAGAAAGGGAAGGATGAGTCAGTGGAGCATAGGCAATTTTTAGAACAGTGAAATGAATTCTATGTGATACAATACTCATGGATACATGATATTATACCTCTACCAAAACCTACAGAACTGAATAAAACAGTGAATCCTAATGTCAGCTATGAGCTTTGATTCAATAATGTATTAATAATAATTCCTCAATTTTAACAAATGTACCACACTAATGCAAAGTGATAATAATAAGGAAAACTGTGCAGAGGGAGAAGTACATGGAAATTCTCTAATTTTTGTTCAAATATTCCATAAATCAAAATCTGTTCTAAAATATAAAATCGATTAATTAAAAACAGTGTTTAAAGAAAATAAAAATTAACTTTCAGGATATTATATATAATACATATGTACAAAGTATATATGCATAAATATGCATGTATACATATTCTGATAAAATAACTACACACTTTTTTACACCTTGACTTTTAGATGTTGTCCTCTGTTATTCAACCTCTCCTTATGTAATGTGTCTACAAAGACTAACACCATAAAGGTGAGATGGGGAAATGCAGGTAGTAATAATGAATTATGCTTATGAGAAATTTGGTCATAAAGGGAAACAAGACTGAAACGGATAGTGAGAGTCTTATGGTCTAGGAAAGATTTATTTTTAAAGGACATTAAAATATAATGATGGAACTAATAAAATATATAGTTATTGGTACATTACATTTTATTTTAGTAGTTATTTCACTTTTGTCCATAAATATAGATGGATACTTGATTATAAAATGGCATGCCAAAAATATATATGATATTTTCCCAATGAGCAAAAATGTAAGAAAAACAAAAAAAGCACATACCAATTCATTGAAGCTGATCATTAGAACATGCTCAAATTCTTTACCGTCTTTACCTTTAATATCACAATCAGATGAAGTTACTGGTAACAGAGCAAGGATCAAGGGAGGAATTCCAAAGATATACCTAAAAGAAACTAAATTCAACAGTAAATAAGAATGAGCTAAATGTTATGTCATGTTATATTTGATTGTGGTTTTACAATGGGCTTGACCACTTATTTTTAATAAAAAATTTTAAATATGTATCTCAGTTCCTGAATAATGGGGGAAGAACTCTATACACTGAAATTATATAGCAACCAAACTAGAACTACATTTTGAAATTTAGGTTTCATTCTTTTTTTTTTTTTTTTGTAGCATGCATTGAACTCAGGGGCACTCAATCACCAAGACACATCGCCAGCCCTATTTCGTGTTTTATTTGGAGGCAGGGTTTCTCTGAGTTGCTTAGTGCCTCACTTTGGCTGAGACTAGCTTTGAACTTGAGATCCTCCCGCCTCAGCCTCCAAACCATTGGGATTACAGGCGTGCGCCACCACACCGGGCTTCATTCACTTTGTTAACATAGAAATTTCTGTTAGGAAGTGTAGAACAGTGTGATGAGATCAAAGAACACTTCTGAAAGACACTTTAGGGGTAATGATGACTTAGTAAATGTGGATTTATGTTGAACATCCTTGTAAGAGAAGGTATCTGCAGGCAAAGAGGTATGCTACAGTTTTAAAAAGTTACACATTATTGAAATTTTATGATGTATGGCATGTGATTGTTTATGTGAAAACTTGAACATGGTACACTTAAAGGAATATTCATTGACTTCTCCCTGGAGGGCAGCACTCTGGGAGGTTCATCTCCACAACACTACACTGTGATCCTGTTCTTTCTTTATAGTGATGGAACTTAAAGGGTTTCCCTGCCCCCAATTCTTACAGAATTACACTTGTATTTTGATACTCCCTTTTCTTCTTTTCATTATTTTCTGAATTTATGGACTCAGAGATCCACATTTTATTCAAACACATCTTTTCTCAAATTCTTGCCATGTTAGAAAACCCAAAAAATAAATTCACACCCTGTGAATTCATTATGTCTGTCTGTTTTAGATAAGTCTTCCCCATTAGAAGCAGCTATACAATAAAAAGAAATGAAATTTTTAATGGTGTGATTTGGGGCTGTAAAAATACACAAACTGGAAATTCAGTGATTCCCAGAAACATTAAATTTGATCTATTTCTTCACCAGCCTGCCATAGTGTCTTGTTTGCATTGTTCCATGAACTCTGAGTTATGTTGAGTTTTTGAGAGTTTCACAAAAGAACTTTAATTGTGCTTGTTCAGTGCAAGGCATTTCCACATGTGTACCTTCCTTAATTAAGAGTTCAATTAACCTTCCTTCCACTCAACAAACTAATATTGTGACAACTGCCTAAAAACTGTTAAGGATATCATAAAATTTCCAATAACTGTATTATGCTATCATCTGTCTTAAAAAATCAGTAACTCTCCCTAATAAATTATGCTTTTAGTGACTGATATTTTTACAAATACAGAAAGTAGACTAGGCAAAAGTTAAGGAACACGCGTAAATCATACGTCTTATCTTCATGTGACATAAAGAAATATAAAGAAATATAATGCAAGAGTGAGACACAAAATCTGTTCATAGATCTAATACTAACTACCTGTATGCACTGTAACTAAGAATACATTTAGGAGACAAGTGATTATGATCCTAGTTACTTTTAATCAAATATCTACCAGATGCTGGTTGCTGGTGCTAGGGACTGTTAGGAGTATTTATATATATTCCTGCAAGTAGCACAGAGGTAGTAGGTGTCAAGTTTGGACATTCACCTAAGTTTACTGTCTTAACAGAATTTGATCAAAAAAAGCCCTAATATTTTGATAACATGTAATTTCAGTGGCCTTCTGCATAAAAACTGCTTCCATGTGATAATATTCAGTTCCACCTTTCTCTTCTTCTATCATTTCTTCCTCCTGAAGATCTTTAAACAGTAATTAATTGCTCATTAATTACTGGCAATTAATCTGACCTGGTATTGGATATGTACAGTTTGTAGAGAAACATACTTTTAATTTCTCTTTTCATTTCCAGGTATCCTAAAGTTATACTTTTGGAGAAATAGACAAAGAAGGAAAAATTATAAGGCACATAATTTAGAATGAACTTTAAGGAGACTATAGTAAAATAATTAAATGCTAGAGTGAAAAGGAGATATGTTTATCATTATACTTAAATGTTATTTCAGAGGCCAATATTTTATATATTAAAAATGAGGTGTTTTATTTTCCATAAGCACCATCTTCTTCACCCCAATTTTCAGTTATAACTACTCCCAAAACTCATATCAACCTACTATTTCATTGGATGGCATTTTATCAATTCTTTCCAATGATGGTTGGATGGAAAGTTCAGTCTTTGGGATGCTACAACTAATTTCTCAATGCTAAAACATAATTTATCTTGCCTGTAAAGAGTCTTCTGTTACTATAGTTGTTGTGGAAAAGCTAGCCCCACACACTAGGACAATATAAAGCATGAGGCTTTGGAAACACAGAGACCTGGGACTTCTGTCCTCATAGGATAGTGGGTTGTGTTACTGAGTGAATGGCTTCATCTACCTGATTTTTAAATGAAAACATTAGACTAAATGATCTCTTAAATCTTTTTCAGCTCTTAAGCCCCTTCATTCTGTCTTACCTGGCCATGCAAATAGAGAAACTCTTCAGGTTTAAAATTGCTTTCAGGACAATTCTGCAAAACTATCCCAGGCCTGAGACCCACATCTCAATGATTCTCAGCTCTCTCAAGATCTGGTTTGTTTTACAACGGAAATCATTTCTTCCATACTACATACTTAAGTAATATATGAAGATTGTTTGGCTTGAGGGGACTTTGAACAGTGTCACAATGGGAAAGAGACTCAGCTTTATTTTATTTTGTTTGCATTTGTTTCATACTATATAGGCCTCTGCCCTTCCCCCTCCCCCTGAACTTTTCATTCGATTACAGAAAAGACAAACCCTAAGGAACAATGCAAGGCAAGTATGGGCTTGTGGAATTGTCTTTAAATCTCCTGAAGGGACTGAAATTGGAGAATTTGTTTTCAGTAGGGAATTTGGTTAAACAGAATGATAGCGGTTTAAGAATTCTTGTTGGTTTTTAATTTAAGCCAAATAATACATTCAATTCTTAGCTGCTCAAGTTATGGGGTCAAAGTGAAGATAAATAAATTGTTTCTACAGCCCTCCAAATCCAGTCTTTTATCAGAATTCAAGAACAATAGTGTTTATTGAATGCCTATTACACAAACCTCTTTTCACTGGGAATATAATTCCAAAATCATTTCATGAAGTACTTAGAAATTATTTACATTTTTCTGGGTGCAGTGGCACAGGCCTGTAATTCAGAAGCTGGGGAGGCTGAGGCAGGAGGATCACAAGTTCAAAGCCAGCCTCAGCAAAAGCAAGATGCTAAGCAACTCAGTGAGATCCTGTCTCTGAATAAAATACAAAATAGGGCTGGGATATGGCTCAATGGTCTAGAGCCTCTGAGTTCAATTCTTGGTCCAACCCTCCCAGAAAAAGAAATCATTTACATTTTACAGGTGTAGAATCTAGGGCCCATAGAACGTTTTTCCAATATAGAATGTGCCTAGGAAGAGCCAAGATTCAAATCTGTTTTGTTCAGGTTAAGGAATCTAGAAACTCAGCTTTTAGCTACTGTGGCACCCCACTTCCTATAAAAATGTATACATGGGTTTAAGAGGAAGGCAAAAGAACTCATTTCCTTTTCTGCAAAAACTTCACCAAGGTAATTTCTGGCCAAGCTCAGAAACTGTATCATATACCCTTATTTCAAAAAAACACTAAATATTTGCTTTTATTTGAGTAGGTAATGTGAGTGAGACTAGGAGGAAAAAAGATCTCAACACATAAATATGATTAGACATCTGAGTTGGTCCTACAAAATAATCTTTTCTATTTTTAAGTTATTTAAACACTGATATGGTGCAATTTATAAATTTTCTTTGTACCTATTCTAATCATTTTGGTTTTCTGCTTTTATTACTATTCCATTTTTTTTCGGTCCTCAAATATGAAGAATTCACCCAAATCCAATTGCATAGTTGAGGATCACATAGTGAGTCATCATCTACTTAGAAACTGAGCTGTTTCCATGTTTTCTTTGCAATGCCCTTGGTTCTAATGCAATTACTTCTTTCTGGTTCTCCTCCTCATTCTAACACATCTTGGGGGGTTTCTTATTATTTTTTTTCTTGGTACTGAGGTTTGAACCCAGGATTGCTTTACCATTGAGCTACATCTCCAGTCCTTTTTATTTTTATTTTTTAATTTTGAGACAGGGTCTCCTTAAGTTGCTTAGGATGGCCTTGAACATGCAGTCCTCCTGCTTCAGCCTTTCAAATGGCTGGAATCACAGGTGGGCATCACCACACTGGGCTTATCTACTTCACCTCTCAAAAGAAAGAGCAAAGAAAGAGATGTAAACGGTATTCCTATGTACAGTCTTGGAGTTTGAACTTCTCATAAAATCACTTGGAACCAAGATGTAGAAAACCACTCAATATATAATTACATTATAACACATTAGAAGTTTAGAATTTTAATATTTTGTTTGCTATTAGTAGTTTATGATGCATTAATATAGATGTACATCCAAAAATAAAGTTTCCTTACTAGAAGTATACACCCTGAGTTTCTTTTGTCTTTTTATGTCTCTGCTTTTGATAAGAGGTAATTCAAGGATTAGAATCAGGAGAGAACCAGAAAGAAGTAATTGCAGGTGAAACCAAGGGCATTGCATAGAAAACACAGATACAGCTCCATTTCTAATTCTACATTTAAACTTCTGGAGCACTTTTCTAACAGATCCATAATTGTCTTTGATATTATCTCATGCTCCTCCCCCCCCCCCCTTTTTTTTGTTACTGAGCTATTTCCCCTAGTTATGTCAATTCTAGGTGTTTTAATATCTATGAGATGGGAAATGAATCTTGATCTAACAGAATAGTCACGGAAGTACACAGAGCATCAAAAGGAAGAGCTTTCTAGCTGGCTCCCTATTCTTCCACCTTCTCCCACAGGTCTTCTAGCTTAATGAAGTGCTTATAGTAAAACATGCCAATTTCCCTAAGTAGATCCTCTCCCCTCACATATCTTTCTCCTCTGTTTAATTCCAGTATTTTTAATTTATTTATGTTAGCCCTTTACATTAGCCACATGGCTGCCAAATGGGATCCAACCCACGTTAATTCTGTCCTTCTCCGTTTTAAGTCCTTTTTCCGCGGAAATAAAATCTAGCAGATATCATCAGGGGTTTAGAATTTAGAAGGAAATCTATTTAATCCTGCCTCCATCAAGGATCGAGCATATAGGACAAAGCAACGTCTGGCTATTTTCAATGCAAATTGCAGGACATGAGTTCCCAGCAAACAGCGCAGGGTACAGCCCCAGATGGAAACTCCCAGCCCCACTGAGGGGGAAAAACGGGGTTTTACTGAGACCTGTCCCTTAGGGCTTAAAAGCGCGTCCCCAGGGAGCTTCGCTTTCAGTTCTCTAGGAAGTTCGGAGCTGCAAGAACCCAGCTACTCACTCGCTGAACCCAGGCTGCCTGTAAGTAACTTCGCGCTGCCTGGAGCACGGGTAGGGCTAGTTTGGCTCAGTGTTCGCCCAGGGCTATGCTGGCTAGGGACAGACAGACTTTCGTTGGAAGTCACTGACTACCTCTGAGATCTGGCTGTAGGTTGCCCCTGCTGAGCGGCGCGGGGGTTGCAGCGCTTAGTCTCGGGACAGAAGGTAAGCCTCGGGACTGCTTTTCACAGCTCGCTAGGGACAGCAAACCCAGATGCAAAAGACTACGGACCATTGTACTCAGGAGTGGGTAGCGGCTGACCACGGGAGAGGCAGTGTTCTCTGCAGGTCCAAAGTGCAAGCCAGGCTATTCCCGGACGTGCCTTGGCTCTGGGGGGTGGGGAGAATCGCAGCGCGTCCGGGAGTCCCCAGGCGCGCTTGGCGCGCGAACTTGTGCGCCCGGGAGAAGAGCGCTTACCATGGAACATTGTCTGCGGGAGGTGGGCGTAGTCATGATGACCGCAACTGCAGCAGGAGCACGCTCTCACCCATAATCACTCCCAGGACTATGGTCTTCCGCGGAGTTGACACAAGTCCGCGCTGGATAGGCCAGTCTCTGCAGCTGGTTTCTTTCACCCGCGGCGCGCCTGTTGTTTCATCCATCCCAGGAGGGGCGGCACACATCACAGCCTGGCTCTGTGCTTTGCCTTTTCCATAACTTCCGTAGGATCAGCCGGCAGTGTACTTTCAGTTTCTTCTTTCGGCTTGGTCTGTAGGATCAATCTTTAAGTTTATCCTCTGGACGCCTTTACCATCTCCTCACTGTTGGGCGCCCGTGTTCTTCCTTAGCACTTCCCATGCAGCTGGACCAGGACGAGAGGGAGGTGCAAATTTGCCAAGTACCGCAGGAGAAATCAGGTGGCCTTCTGATTCAGAGCGATTCAGGGTAAAAGACTTTTCAGATGACTCTTAGCCGCTTTGGCAACTCTTGGGCCACCGAGAGCTAAAACCATTGGTTGCTAATGTGTCCCCGAAAACCACAAATGTGCAGGGCGAAAGCTGGGCAATTGCAAGCGGACGCCACAGAGGAGGCGTCGCCGCTTCTGCCGCGGATGTGACAAACGTTGCCAAGTCATCTTATAAAAAAAGGAAGTGAAGAATGATTAAGAGGATCACGCCCTCTGCCTCTCCAATCTCTCTAATCAGTTTCTTTCTCTCTCTTTTGTACATGTACATACTCAGGTGGGACCTTAAGGAAAAACAATTCTGCGGCCCCACCTAATCGGGTAGGTAAGTGCTACCTTTAGATAATCAGAACTCAACTAAAGTGGAGGACATGGAAAATTACTATAACTTCCACAAGTGTATCTGACATGGATGGCTAATAATTCCAACTATCCATTTTGATTGTGTGTCACTGAGGAGTTAATTTCTTCTTAGACCTGAATTACCTAAGTATTTCCTGCTTTAGTTTTGTTTCTGCTACTATTTTGCAGAAATCCTGCTTAAATGAAGGTGGGTTATGTAAACCAGTAATGATAGGGATAAAGGTTATTGTTTATTTAGCATTTGCTCTGTGCCAAATATTGTGTTAAGCATTTTACATATATTGTCCCATGCAAACCTTTCTATGAGGTAGGATATTTTCTTATTTGCACTTCACATATGTGAATCAGACACTTCTTTAAGTGATATGCCAGTTTACTTAGAGAGAATTAAGACAAAAAAACAAAACAAAACAAACAAACAAACAAAAACAAAACCCTGCTACATTCTGGCTCCAAAGTTCATGTTGAGAATCCTTGTGTTAGAAGGAAGACCTTGCAAACAGTACAAGTAAATAGAAATTGATGCTGGGAGGGTGATGACGACATGTGGGGAACTCAGGAGAGGTTTCTGGAGTTGTGACTTCTAAATTGACACTTGAGCAGGAATGAACTTGGATTTGGTAAAGAGCTTCTGTAATAGTGTAGCAAGGAAAAGAGACAAAGAATAAGGAGGGAGATAAAGAAAACAGCAATGAATTAGAGAGTTAGACAACTGACTCAAGCCTGAAACTTGGATCTTTTGATTCCTCTTATCTTTTTTTTCCCACAACCAATTTATTGGCAAGTCCTGTCAGTGCCACCTCCAAAATAAACCCTGCCAGATGACTACAAAGGCTGTCCAGGGAATCTTCCAGCTTTCCCTCTCTCCCAAAACCCCTTCTCAGAGAGGCATGATACCTGATTGCACTTCTCACCCTCTGACCACTTCCCACTGTATACCAGGTCCTCAAGGCCCTGTGTGATGGGATCCTACCACACTCTCTGTTACCCATTTCAACCTCATTATGCTGCAGTCATATAGGCCTTTTCTTCCCTGTGCCCAGGGAAGCTTGCTTCCATTTAAAGCAGTGTGTAAGCACATGGTTGGCATTCAGTATTGCTAATTGACAACATGAGAGAGAATGATGGCATGAAAATTGCTCTGTGGCAATATTGTGCTAAGCATTTTACATATATTGCCCCAAATATGCAAAACTTCCTGTGAGGTAGAACATTTTCTCATTTGGCTTCACAGGGGTGGAATCAGAGACTTCCTTAAGTAAATGTGACAGTTTACCTAGCAGAATTAGGACAAAAATAGAGAATGTATAGTGAAGGCAGAAAGGAACTAGAAGAAAAGTGGAAGAGACAAGGGAAACAAATGAGACCAGGAGACAGAACAGAATGGGAAAAGCCAACTATTTCTATTTTTTTTTTTTTGGAACTAAATGAGGAGTAGGGAGTAGGGAGAGATGAAGCTGAAGTGATTGTTGAAGATAAATTCTATAACAAAGCATGCCTGGGTTACTAATTAGTTATTTAAATCTCTGACAGAAGCATGGAGGCATGTAATGACTCATGGCTTGCTCTTTTTCCCCCCTTCTTCTGTTTTCAAACATTTCAGGGACAGAATACAAGAGCATCCATCAACAACTTGCACAGGAGGAAATCTGTCTTCCTTTGTGCAATCACCATAAAGCCTGGCAGAATAAGGGCCTTTGCATAAGCAAACTTTGGGGGAAAATATTTAGAGTTCCAGGAGAGATGTAAATTTCTCACTGGACACTGCCTTTTGAAGAGAATATTCTGAAAGCATTTGGGATTTTTATGATTATGTTAATAGATGCACCTTCTAACTACATCAAATTATAGAGAATTCTATCACAAAATCAATATCATTTGTAAAAATTCCCAAAGCCTTAAGTTAGCTATTGTAATTTTGATTAACTGAAAACAATTATTTATCTCACAGATGGGAAAGGATAAAGGTTTTTTTTTTTAAATTGCTAAATTGCTAATGATTTATGATTAAAGAAATGGAGCAGTTATTATTATGCTTGCTCATAGAACCAATGAATTGTGCAAAAAAGCCAAAAAGGAGACAAATATAAATTTTATGAATTATTATCATTAAATTTTAAAAGGGAAGATAATATTCTTATAATAGAAAAATATTGAAATGAAATGATGTCAACCTAAAGAGAAAATTGTTGTAAGTTAACCAATTTCTTTTTAATATTCTACAATCTGCAGTCAAAATGGTCAATTATTTTTAACCTGAAAATATTTTCCTATTAACTGTACTATCTTTGTCCAACTTAATATGACTACTCTTTATAGGCTGGAATCTGAATTCTATATAGTGTACTAACCCTAGATATTTTCTGAAATTCCTGTGATTTAATTTTCCAACCAAATATTAAACTTGTTTCAAATACACACATGCATGTACACAGGCATGCTCACGCAAAGACAATGTTAGGGACATGGGCTCTATGTAGTTCTGCAGGGTCTTGTGCTTTGAAGGACCCCTCTTTTGTTTACTACTCTGCTGTCACTGTGTTGAAATTCTTAATTATTTTTTAACATTTTCACTTTGCACTGGGTCTCACAAATTTTGTAACTGGCCATGCACTCTACAAATGTTGTTACACATGAATAACAATGTATGTCTTTAAGGTGGCTTCAGTCTGGTGTGAAAAGCAAATGTTAAATTTATAATTCCAAAAATGAAAAATGTTTGACAAGGAAAAGATGGCATGTTATTTTAAACCAGAGATTTAAGATAATTTTAATCCATTTTGTAGTGAAATAAGGACCCAGATTAAGTTAATTGACCTGTTCAATGGAAACAAAGCAACTATAGGAGTGAATAACCTTTAACTCTAGATCTGCTCTGTTTGATTTCCAAGTCTGAGCTTGGGAGAAAATTTTGAATCTTATCAAATGACTACTAGGCATTTATTTACATGGTCATGTTTTTTTCTTGTAGCATTACTGAACAAACCATACATTTAACATAATGCTGAATTTAAATTGCTAATATTGGGATTTTGCGATTCTACTTATAGTCAGGGTATGTTTGTACTTCACATTCAACTTGAATTGGTCTAGTTTTGTCAGATTTTGCTAACTTCATAGTAGGAATTGGAGGATCATTGTTTGTAAAAGTTGCATTAAAGCTTTCTATAAACTATTTTTCTCTGGAAGACTTGCTGGAGAATTCAAAAAGAAATCATACTTCATTTTATGGAACAAAATTCAGCTATAGGATGAGACTGTCAGTTTTGAGTATTATAAGAGTCAAAATGAAAAGGTTTGTTCTCAAGGCTTAATCAAAATGGCCGTGTCAGAATGTCAGGAACTCTGTTGGAGATGTACATGTCAGCATACTGGTGATGGCCAGAGTCATGGAAATGAATGAAATTACTGAACCTGAATGTTAGAAAAAGAAAACTTGTGCCTGGAGGAATATTGAAATACAGCACCACCGGGTAGATGGGGACAGTACTACTGGCAAGTAGTGGCAGAAAAGTCTGAAAGTCAGGAGTCAGCACCCCAGAAGGCAAGGAGGACAGAATTTCAAAACAGAGTAAGCAGTTAGTGTTTCCAGAAGTCACAGAGAGGTTGAGCAAGATAAATGTTGAAAAGTATGTCTACTAAATTTGGCAGAGCAGAGATTATCCATGGTTCTCATGGCAACAGTTTGAGAAGAGCAGTGTACATAGATTTGTGGGGAGCGAGGGAAGAAGGAAATAAAGTGAGAGGGAACAACTTTTTCAAGATGTATGGTAACAATAAAAGGAAGAGAACAATGGTTTGAAAGGTGAGTAAGGCATAATGGAAGCTTTAGTTATCAAGGAGTACTTGAGAATACTTACTAATTAATTAATAAAAAGGTTTAGTCCAAGTAGGAGAGGATGACTCAAAGAAACCAGAGATGGCTGACTTTCTTTTCTTATATTCTCTTCATTTTTGTTTCCTTTTTAATTTTTTCCCTTAAACTTTATAATTCTAAAGTTCTACCCAATGTCTAATTTTATACTCTTTTAAAGTGATCCTTATGATAATCACTTGTATATTGCTGGAATAATTGTCTAAAAGAGAAATCTAATATTTCCCAAATTGCCTATCTGAGTGAACAGCAGCTATAGCTTATGTAGTTTGCATTATGTGACCCTTTTGTATGTCAGTAATGTGTTGTTGGCAATCAAAACTTTCTTTTATATGCCAGATTTTAGAGGAACTATGCTCTTACCATTTATAAAAAAATAAGTAGAGAAGATTACACCTACAACAATTTTCTTCATGCATAGTATTTGAAATAAATGGAAAAACATTTTGCTTAAGTGCATGGACAAATCCCTTTATATTATAAATTCACTATGTGAGAATGTTGGGTTGTTTTGGGGAGACAGCAGTGACTGTCTCACTCAACTTAAAATTCTCTGAAGTCAACAGGATGCCTTTCAAGTTACAGACTCTATCCAGGTATGACCTGTGGAAAACAGAAACATCAAATACACAGATCTTGGCATGCTTTCCTTATAGATAATCAGTATCTCAGTGATGTTAACATCAAAGAATATTAGAGTACCAATTACTGACTGACATGGATATGGCAAAATTATAATATTTAATAGAAATTTAGAGTATTTGTTCAATGTGGAAAGTCATCTTTTTTGAATCCCTTTATTGTTAGATTAGAAAATTAGTGCAGTCTTCTTCCCCTTCCAGCAGATTTGTTCCAGCATATTTCCTATTACCTTGGACTCTTAGTTACATCCATTAACTCATATATATGACATGGAATGATTAGATGTTTTGCAGAAGTAATGAAGTTAACAAACATCAACCTAAGTGGGATGTGGTGGTACATGTCTGTAATCCCAGCTATTCTTGAGGCTAAGGCAGGAGGATCATAAGTTCAATATCAGACTAGGCAATTTAGGGAGACCCTGTCTCAAATTAAAAATAAA